AATCAGTCTTTATAATCAATCTATTTATGACGAGATTTTTTCAATTTATGAATTAAAATATTTGGCTGCCATTCTTTTTGAAAGGTAAGATACGAAACTCTGATGGAGGGGAAAGGTGGCCCCGTACCTGCCTAGCTACGAGGCCATGGTTGGCCCTGGAAGGATGCCAGAAGGGGAGGTGGCCCCGTACTTGCCTACCTACGCGGCCAGAGGGCGGGGGGGGGGGGCGGCCCCGTACCTGTACAGGGATGGAGCCTGGCCCCGTACCTGCCTAGTTTACCTACTCACGTGTCTCGTCTTTTAGCCCAACAGTGATGAAAAAAAAGTTAGGCTGGGATTGATTGCTTTAAAAAGAAAAAAACGGTACTTTGAGGTGAGGCAGGGTCGGAATGGAATTTTCAATGCTTGTAGTGCTCGTACGACTTATGGACGTATTACAATGACTTGTCCACCCATACTTCACTTACTAGCCTCAAATGCAATAAGAAACTGTAGTTTGCGTATCTGCACACGTACACCGAGTGGTTGTTCCACGGGGGGTTGGAACGGAATGAAATGTTTGTACGCGCGAAATACGCAAGAAGAAGAGCTTGGCTATTCGAGAGGTAACAACGTCAGGTACTACTGTCATAAGGATTTATTCATTTTAGTCCTATACTTGAAAAAGTGACCACTGGTTAGCATTTCCAGTCCATAAAGTTCTAGTTTGAACTGATTTTTGTTAAAATCACCATTATGGGGCAAATATGCAGACAAAATGTATGCAGTAAGACTCACTCGTTTTTGTCGATTTTTTGTGAGACTAAGGTACAAATCTAATCATCAATAGCTAGATTATATAATGCTTACACGCCCAAGTAGTCGATAAGCCTTATTTTTTACCGGTGAAAGTTTTCATGAGTGAAATTGAGTTGTTGACATGGGTTGGAATGGAAAATTTGACTCTAAATGATCGATTATCTCAATAAAGAAATTTATATATCGGTATTAGACAAAATTTCAAGTGAAGTTGACAACATTTAACACAATTTAACATTTTTAAAGTGTTGGATTTCATTACGGCACGTGAGTTTTTTTTTTTTTTTTTTTTTTTTTTTTTTTTTTTTTTTTTTTTTTTTTT